CAACTGCAAGATGCTATCCTATCAATATGGGCCAACATTTCTAAAGAATGCTTTCAGCACCTTGTTGAATCAATGCCACATAGAATTAAAGCAGTTCTGAAGGCGAAAGGGGGTCAAACACCGTATTAGTATTGTGTTCCTAATAATCCTTTAGGTGAGTGTACAGTATGTGTTGCCATACCCACTGTTTTTGCACAGAATACATTGTGTTCCGATGCAAAAAGGAAAGGGACACTCCATGGCCTCATTTGTATAAATGCTAACAAAGCAGCAAACAAAAACAAAATTATGAAATTTCTGCTAAAAGCATAATTATTTGAGTTCGTGTAAGTGCATAGTGTCCTTTGCCTGTCAAAATGCAGCATATTTCAATTTACAGTGCTCTAAACTTCATTAGGTTTTGACCTGAAAGTTAACTATTTTGAACAGATTATCTAAACGTCTGAAAAATCGGCTGAAGTTGTACAAAGTTTTGCTGGTGGCAAACACTGACTCAGAGAAGTATTCATGAAATTTGGGGGAAGTAGTGACTGGATGCATATTGTGTCAAAGCAACGCAAAAGTATACATAGTTTAGCTCACATACAGTAGTCCAATGGTATGGTGCATGTATTAAGTGTTTTGAAAAAGTGGACATGGTATTGAGACACGCATTAAAATGATTGGAAAAAACTGTAACACCAACATGTTATGCAGATCCAATTCTTACATCGCTAGTCAGCTACAGTAGATTAAAATCAGCCTTTTTCTTACCTTCAGTTTGGTATGGATATTAAAGCACAAGGAGTTTAAGTCTTGCTAAAACATTTTTACTCTGTCATAGGATAAAAAAACTCAGCAAGTTTTAGAATTTGAATGATTATTCCTTTTCAAAATTATCTCATAAATATTTTAAGCTTCTAGTATATGTTTAAAGTTATAGCTGTGCATGTACTGTAAACGTACTGTAAGGAATCCACTTGCAGAGTCTCTGCAGTTTCAGCAAAATGGTGGTTTATTGAACAGTAAAAATAATATAATGTAATACAGTGTAGACATACACCGGATACTGAAAGGCAGCTCAAATACAAATTAAGGGCAGTTCTTCACCCCCCTTTATACCCCAAAAGACCCTCCCCAACAAGGTGCTGTGTGTAGGTGTGAGTGAATTTACATATGAAGAGTGACCCCCCTGTCCTGTGAGGAGCCTGGGGCAGGGATGGGGCAGGACAGGGTGGAGACTTTTATGATAATTGTAATTTATTCCTTATCACCTTAGTGGTGCCGACCAGAACCCCCATTCTCTCCCTGACTTCCCCCATGATCATAAATTGCTAACACTGTCTGTATCCAAATGATCAACCAAGAACATTGGGGCATCTTTACTGCTTTTCCTTACAGTACTGACAGTCAGCTGTGAGGAACATTACAGCCCTAGGCAAGGGAGGCAAATCCGAGTTTCTCTACAACAACAGGTTGCCATTTTTATTACTATTGTCATGTCACATGAAAGCTACAAGAGTTGAAAGTTTTTTTGACATTAATTCTTTTTCAAAAGAACAGCATTTGGAATCAGAAGGGCATTCTGAATCAGTTTTCCTTTTCTTTTTGGAGAGGCTGGTTTTTGTGTGTCGGTATGGAGGAAACAATTGAATCTGTCAGTATTTATGGGACTCAAAAAACACAAAATATTTTTCTCAGACATCTGCACATACTGGTATAGCACACCTATCTTTGCCTTAATGAGGAATCAAGGCTTTCTTCTCTGTCACAACTCTGAGGAACCAGCACATCGAAGCTCCTCCCAGCAGGGATGGGCAGGCAGGATAAATAAGCAGCCTGGACTTCATCCAGTTTCATTGTGGAACTCACTGCTGAGCGTCAAGATGGGCAGCTTCTCTGTGATCGTTCTGCTCTTCCCACTTCTCCTGCTGGTGGTGAACGGAAACCTGAACACGACAGGTAGAGATGTGTCTTAGGGGACGGGCGAGACCGAGATTAGACTGGCTCCTCCAAGGAACAGTCCGCAGACTCTTCCTGCTGAGAGTCGAAAATCGGTTGTGGTGCAGTTCAGATTGTTCTTTGGTTCACTGTCTCTTCTGAGGCAACCTGTCCTGCTTATTTTATGTGTTATATATTTAATATAATATAATATTTTAGATCATGTGTTGGACTATGAATTAAGATACTTTGTTACCATTTTCTTTTTGTTTTTGTCATTTTTAAGGAACACATGAAATATTTTCTATTAATTCAAAAGGCATTATTATTATTATTATTATTATTATTAATAATGATGATTATTATTATTAGGCTAAATTGTATTTTTTTTATCTTTAAAATTCCCTCACACTGTCATGTGGGGATTTATTGAGTGACTTAATCCTCACTGCAGTCCAGTGATGTGCCATCCAGGAATCCTGGTTACCCTAAATCTCTGTATCTCACATCCCCCCAGCTGTAAATTCTCTGGCCTCTGCCTTCGAATCACCCTGACACTGGGTGCTGATTAGATAACATGTTACTTATGCCAGATATAATTTCTAACAGATACTAAAATGCTCACTGGTATTTTGCATGTGTGTCTCAGAAATAGGTGGACTGGTGGCTCTGAGGCTAGGGATCTGTGCCAGCAACTGGAAGGTTGTTGATTTGAATTCTGTGAATGTCCAGAGTGATTCTACTCCTTGGGGCCCTTGAACAAGGCCCTTAACCTGCAATTACTTTGTCCCGGGTCTGATGTAAATCTACATCCAGCCCTATAAGGAGGTCCTCCAACTTGCAGGGAAAAACTTGGGGGTTGGTGGCAGGATTGGCACTCCAGCCACTGGAAAAAACACTGGTCTATGTGGACTAGTGTGGTGCTGAGGTATCACCCACTGCATGGCTGCACTCAGGTTCTCATCCCTGAGGTGGTTTGTTGCACTGTAATCAGTGCGAGCTCCTTACCTCTCTTTCTCAGAAATAGTGCTGCACGATTCGAATGAGACCACACTTGACTTCAGTAACACTGACATTTTACCACGTCTGATTCCTGGTATGCTGTAACAATTACTATTACATATAATCTGTAACACTAAGAGACAGAGATTTAGAATGTGACGAGTCTTTTGTACGTGTGTCACAGACTTTGACATTTTCAATGACTTCAATATCACTGAAGCCAGTGACACAGATCCTGGGCTTTTTTGGGTTGGCAGTAATTTTTTGGGTTGGCAGTAATAATTCCTACTAAATTGCAATAAAAGTTTATGTTCAAATAAGACGACAGTATTAAAAATCACACCTTCATTATATATGAATTCAATGTTGTAAAAATGTAAAAGTGCTGTAAAGGTGTCATTCAATTTTGATTTGCAGTGATGTATGTCTGTGTGTGTGTGTGTGTGTTGTGGGAGTGGGGAGGCACAGCATTGTGGTCTTGCACCTCTGGGGTTGGGGTTTCGTGTTCTCCTGTTTAAGTCATCTGAGTGCTGTACGGCTTGGGCCTGAGCCACCAACAATGTCAGCTGAGAGGGACATTACAGTTTCTGCTGCACTAGCCAAGTATTCACAAAGACATGTGGCTATAGGCTAAAAAATTAACACAAAAATAATACAGTGTCTATATTAACTATTTTTTTTTAAGTTGGGGGAGCCAAACTTGACAATAAACAAGTTTTACTGAAACCATGACAGCAAAACAATGTCACCGGTTAGGTTGGATGCAAAAAAAAACACCTGCATATTTGTCTTTTGACTGAGGGAAAATGAAACTGAAAGTACTGTTTACAAACAGTGACCCTAATCCATCCATACAAACGAGGTCAATGTTAGAGGACCAGCCAGAATTTGTCAAATAAGTTAGTCAGGCCGATTCTACAACCCCACTTCCAAAAAATGTTGGAACAATGTGAAAAATGTAAATAAAAACAGAATGCAATGATTTACAAATAATATCTATTTGAATTTGATGCCAGTAAGAAATTTTTTAAAAACTTGGTACGGGGATCAAAAGACTGGAAAAGTTGTGTAATGCTAAAACAAAACACCTTGTTGAATATCTCACAACTAGTTAGGTTAATTGGCAAAAGGTCAGTCAGATGACTGGGTATAAAAAGAGTCTCCTACAGTCTGTATCTGTGCAGTGAAGATGAGGAGATGTTCACCACTCTATAAAAAACTGTGTGGGCAAATAGTGCAACAATTTAAGAATAATGTTCCTCAATATAATATTGCAGAAAATTTTGGAATTCCATCATCTATGATATATCATTAAAAGATTCAGAGAATCTGGAGAAATCTCTGTATGCAAAGGACAAGGCTGAATTCCAATATTGAATAGCCGTCATCTTTGGGTCCTTGGACAGCACTGTACTGAAATTATGGACACTGCAACATCCAGGCTAAAGAGGATAGGGACCATCCAGCTTGTTATCAGTGGACAAAAGCCAGTATCTGTGATGGTATGGAGGTGCATTAGTGCCCATGGCTTGGGTAGCTGGCACATCTGGGAAGGCACTATTAATGCAGAATGAGATATATATATATATGTATATGTATGTATATATATATGTATATACACTCACCTAAAGGATTATTAGGAACACCTGTTCAATTTCTCATTAATGCAATTATCTAATGAACCAATCACATGGCAGTTGCTTCAATGCATTTAGGGGTGTGGTCCTGGTCAAGACAATCTCCTGAACTCCAAACTGAATATCAGAATGGGAAAGAAAGGTGATTTAAGCAATTTTGAGCGTGGCATGGTTGTTGGTGCCAGACGGGCCGGTCTGAGTATTTCACAATCTGCTCAGTTACTGGGATTTTCACGCACAACCATTTCTAGGGTTTACAAAGAATGGTGTGCAAAGGGAAAAACATCCAGTATGCGGCAGTCCTGTGGGCGAAAATGCCTTGTTGATGCTAGAGGTCAGAGGAGAATGGGCCGACTGATTCAAGCTGATAGAAGAGCAACTTTGACTGAAATAACCACTCGTTACAACCGAGGTATGCAGCAAAGCATTTGTGAAGCCACAACACGCACAACCTTGAGGCGGATGGGCTACAACAGCAGAAGACCCCACCGGGTACCACTCATCTCCACTACAAATAGGAAAAAGAGGCTACAATTTGCACGAGCTCACCAAAATTGGACAGTTGAAGACTGGAAAAATGTTGTCTGGTCTGATGAGTCTCGATTTCTGTTGAGACATTCAAATGGTAGAGTCAGAATTTGGCGTAAACAGAATGAGAACATGGATCCATCACGCCTTGTTACCACTGTGCAGGCTGGTGGTGGTGGTGTAATGGTGTGGGGGATGTTTTCTTGGCACACTTTAGGCCCCTTAGTGCCAATTGGGCATCGTTTAAATGCCACGGTCTACCTGAGCATTGTTTCTGACCATGTGCATCCCTTTATGACCACCAGTACCCATCCTCTGATGGCTACTTCCAGCAGGATAATGCACCATGTCACAAAGCTCGAATCATTTCAAATTGGTTTCTTGAACATGACAATGAGTTCACTGTACTAAAATGGCCCCCACAGTCACCAGATCTCAACCCAATAGAGCATCTTTGGGATGTGGTGGAACGGGAGCTTCGTGTCCTGGATGTGCATCCCACAAATCTCCATCAACTGCAACATGCTATCCTATCAATATGGGCCAACATTTCTAAAGAATGCTTTCAGCACCTTGTTGAATCAATGCCACGTAGAATTAAGGCAGTTCTGAAGGCGAAAGGGGGTCAAACACCGTATTAGTATGGTGTTCCTAATAATCCTTTAGGTGAGTGTATTTGTCATTAAGCGATTACATTTCTTAGTGTCAACATTTGATTTGTCGTCTTTGTTGTTTATTCAATTAAAAATGGGTTTATATGATTTGTAAATCATTGCATTCTGTTTTTATGTACATTTTACACACCATCCGAAATTTTTTGGAAACAGGGTTATACATTCATGAACTGAAAGCTGATTTATACGTCATCAGTAGCTATATTTCAGTTTAAAATAAATTAAATATAAACTATATACAAGAAAGCAGTACATGGACTTCAGCACAAATGGGGTCTGTGCTCTGGTGTGCTGTATTGTTAGCTTGTACTAGTAAATCAACTAGTTATCTGCTGTGGACTAGTCCAGCTTTTCATATAATCCTATGGACTACTTAAGAGCAGGTAACAGGACTGCATCTGGGGGGCGCTATAGCATGATATGTCAGACTATAACCTAAAAGGATGAACTTAAACTTTCTGCCCTGAATCCTGCAGAGTTTCTGGTTTGACTGCACATAGACAGTGGGTGGATGGATGGATGGATGGATGAATGAATGGATGGATGGATGATGGATTGGAGGATGAAGGATGGACAGTCGGGTGTTTTCACCTGTCACTTCACATAGCTGGTATTTTTTCAGACATCCTTACACACTGGTAAAGCACCCTCACTGTGTTTGGTCTTTAGGCTTTCTTGTCAAATTCTTGCCCTTCATGTGATCAAGGATGCCTTCTCAGACACTGAAATGCTGACTGGTATTTTGCCCGTGTGTCTCAGGAATAACGATGGTAGATTCCAATGGGACCACACCTGACGTCAATAACACCGAGACATTACCACTACTGACTCCAGGTATGCTGTAATAATTACTTTTAAATATAATCTGTAACACTGAGACAGGCACTTGGAATCTGACTGGTGTTTTGCATGTGTGTTTCAAACACAGTATTGTACGATTCGAATGAGACCACGCCTGTGTACAATGGTACTGATCCCCTTAACACAACCACTGATCCCCCCTCGACTCCGGTGCCTCTAGGTAAGCTGTGATCATTCCTATTAAATTGGGGTATTGTTCCAATAATCCAAACACCCTCAATATGTATGAACTCAAAAGGGACTGTGATTAATACTTACTAATATATCTTAACAGTGTAATTTAATTGTGATACTTTGTGTGGGTGGTGTGGTGGCCCAGGAGACACCATTGTCACCTCCCACCTCCAGTGTCGGGGCTTTGAGTCTCCCCTCCACCACCTGCATGTGTGGAGTTTGCATGTTCTCATTCTGTGGATGGGTCTCCACCATGTGCTCTGCTATCCTCCCACAGATGTGCAGTTATGGGGACTGGTCTCACCATGATTGTGTGTTTATCCTCTGATGGACCGACATCCCATCCAGGGTCGCCCCCTCCATTGTGGGACCTGGATTAGGCTCCAGGCCCCCTGTTACTCAGAGCAGGACAAATTAAATGATTATATGTTTTTTTAAAGAATATTCAAGGAGCTGCAGGCAAGACCCTCCCAAGTGCTGTATGTCATATGACTGGAGCTGCTACAGGGGCTGCTACTGTGACGCGGGGTGTCTGAGACGCGGGGACTGCTGCCCCGACTTCAAAGAGACCTGTGTGACAGGTACGGCCACTGAGCCTTTGTCTGAATAACCCTCTGTCGATGTCTTCGCTGACAGAGCTTTCAGACAGAAATGCTGAATGTGAGATTTTTTTTAACACCCTGATGATAGTCATTTAAAACAGTTTTAAATGCTTTGACACCCTTTTCCCTGCGCACTACAGCCTGATGTCAACCATTTTCTCTGTCTTCAGGTTTTCTGAATGAAATGACCGACCTGCCCACCAACGGCACCAACATCACCAGCTCTGGGGACTTCAATGCCAGCTCGCCATTTCCCATCTGGTCCCTCTCAGGTGGGGCACCGTTCCTCCTCCATAGCATGACTGCAGGCAATTACACATATCAGGATATTGTAATAAATCTGTTTACAGTATGAATAAGTAGAAAAACAGCCCCTTCAATAATCACTGAATCAGTAATAAACCACAGGCTATTCAGGCTCTGAAGTTCAGAGAACATTTAACATGTGAAACAGACAGACTACCTTTACCCAAAGGGACAGCTTAACAATTATAGCTGGATGTTTCAGTTGGCTTGGGTACCCCGATCAAGGACAAGGAATGAGGAATTGATACTGAGCACTTATTGGAAAAAGGACAAAACCCCTAAATATTGTTGAAAATATGTGCAATCCTCTGCGATGGCTTGCTGCCCCATCCTGGGTTTTTCCCTGCCATGTGCCCATAGCCTCCGGGATAGGCTCCAGACCCTGTGAACCTGTACAGGACCAACGAGTAAAGAAAATGGATGGAAGTGCAGTCCTCATATTTACATTAAGACCAGAAGCTTTAAAAATGTTTCATTTATTGTTTTTTTTTCCATCACAGGCAGCTGCAAATCACCACAACCTATGTGCTGCTCTTGGTATGATGCTAGCTGTTATAGGGGGTGTTTCTGCGACAGTTCGTGCAGGTCTTACGGAGACTGCTGCCCTGACTACGAATCCACCTGCTCAGGTAGGAGCTTGTATGTTCCTCAGCCATCATCACCATTGGCAAATCAGCCCCTTCTGAGATCTGCCGAGACTCAGTTGTGTTTAAACACGATGCGGTGGGTTTGCCAATGGGCGGTGAAATAGATTCTCTCTTTTCCAGAGAGGGTGGTGCTCAACTTGAATGTTAGACTCCTGGTTCCGATTACTGCGAGCGAGTCTGAAATACAGTCAGCGCTTTACAGGGTGAGTACTGTGCTGAGTACTGTCAAGGTAGCAGACTGACAAAACACATCCACACTGTGATGTGAGGGACATGGTGGTACCACAGCGCCTCCTGCTGACACTTATACTTCTGCCACAGGGTGCCACTCAGCTTGATCAGGCCTTACGGAACCGCTACAGCTACTACTGGTACTGGTGGTACAACAACAACAACAGGTACATTAGTCTGAGGGTCGCCAGCATTGCAAGGAAGCCCTGAACAACACAGGTCCCCAGGCTTGCTCGCCGCCAACATGGATGTCAGCTGCAAATATTTTAGGCTAAATCAGCCTTTTATTTTGGATGATTTTGACAATGATTTTGATGATGATTTCCTGCCTCTATCACCCTGCTGTTCACAAGCCCATTTTGGGTCCCCAGGAAACCAAAATAATATGGACATAATAAATAACAATATTAAAATAATGAGCTTGATATCCTTACATTTACTTGCTTCTTCCTGACTTAGCATGATTTAGAGATTTGGAGATTTCAGGTCCAGAGAGTACAAATCCAGACCAGGATTTTGTTTCAACCAACCAGTTGAGTACTCTGTGACTCTTTATACTCAAGCATTTGGTTGAAACAAAATCCTGGTCTGGATTTGTACTCTCTGACCTGAAATCTTCACCTCTGCCAATAATTAACCTCAATGATTTGGGACCCTATTTCCCCCATCCTAAAACATCAAATAAAATAAATGATATGCAAATTAACTTCTTTCTACCACATGCCATTGACTTTGTAATAAATCTGAAATAAATAAACAATTCCTATGAATGCGTTTATTGGGATTTTCTTGGGAAGTTAAGAAAGAGCATAAAGGATGTATCCCAAATTCATGGGGATCAGCCTACCTGGGAATGTGTATACTGGGGAACTGGAGAGGAGGATCCAGCCGTTGGTCGAACCTCAGATCCTGGAGACAATGCGGATTCTGTCCTGGTCGCAGAACACTGGACCAGCTCTTTACCCTCACAAGGATACTGGAGGGTTCATGGGAGTTTGCCCAACCATTCTACATGTGCTTTGAGGACTTGGAAAGCGCATAAGGGGGGTGCTGTGGGGGGTGCTCCAGGAGTATGGGTTACGGGGTCTATTGTTGCTAGCCATCAGGTCCCTGTGCAAACAGAGCGAGAGTTTGGTTCACATCGCCAGCAGTAAGTCAGACTCTGAGTGGGTGCTGGACTCCGCCAGAGCTGCTCTTTTTCACTGATTCTGTTCACAACTTTTAAGGACAGAATGTCTAGGTGTAGCCATGGGATGGAGGGGGTCTGGTTCGGGGGCCTCGGGATCAAGTCTTTGCTTTTTGCGGATAATGAGGTCCTGTTGGCGTCATCGACTGGTGACCTGCAGCATGCGCTGAGATGGTTTACAGTGGAATGTGTGAGGCGGCTAGGTTGTGGATCAGCACCTCCAAGTTGGAGGTCATGGTGCTCAACCAGCAAAGGGTGGATTGTCCTCTCCTGGTGGGGGATGAGTTGCTGCCCCAAGCAGAGGAGGTTATGTATTATGCTGATCTTAGTCACAATGTGAAGAGTCCAAGTGTCTTGAGTACAGATGTTTATTACAGCACACTAAGCACCGACGTAAATACCGTAGAACACTTTTGCCTGCTTGTGAGCTAAGAGGGAAGGTCGACTCTAAGAATCCTTGCTTAGATGGTCTCTCTTAAAGAGCGGCAGCCTTGTCCTCACATACAAGTCAAACGAGTGGGATCCATTTTGTGACAAGCAAATTTTTTACCACATCAGTTTGAGAAGCAAAATTAAGGGCAATGACAGCCTGTTCCATTTGCCTTTATCTTTTTAGCTCGGCAATCAGGGCACACAGGACATTTGCGTAAATATTCTCTGCTACTAGAAAATGAGGGGGGGCCTCAGTAGGGTGCAGTCCTCTGCCAAGGAGGCGTGTTGCCGGTTATTAAGTGGTATCTTGCAAATTTAAAAAACTGCAAAAAAAATAAGAAACTCAAGTATAGGGGACAATACTGGATACCATGTAAGCTTTGACACCACCATGACCTTGATCTAATGATTTACAATAATGCAATTATCAGTGTTATAAGTGTATTAAAACATGTTAAATGGCTGCATAGCTCTGCAGCTGCAACTGAATCATTTTAGTTTTGTTAAAACATGTTCAGTATGGCTCCGCACCTGTGACAAAATAGACTATATTTTGTTTGAGTGATATTGACAGAATATGTTAATAAAAAACAATTAATTTTAAATTCCGTGTTCTGTCATCTGTTTATCCCTTGATTTTCCTGACGTTTTAGTTTTTTGCTGTGGTATCGTTTCAGTATTGGTATCGGAATATCGCATGGCAGGTATCGCTTGGGCGGCATGACGGTATCATGACAGCACTAATTGGTTCACTGATCATGAGACTGAAAGTAGCCTGGCGACTGGAGCAGAAAGCGGGCTGGTCCCCGGCCATGCCCACCCCCACGCTCCCCCATGCCAGCCTGCCCTGACTGTTAGAACTGGTGCGTGAAAGAGGGGGGCTCATAAGATCAACCTTGACTGTGGAGAAGGACGTGGGGGGTGGAGGTGTTATGGGCGGGGGGGAATTACAGGGGTATTATAGAGCTCCATCCAGTTGCACAGTATTCTTCCTTTTTTACCCTTGACATGAGTGAAGGGATTAGGGCCTGTCGCCTCCGCCAGCACCCCCCTAGGACAAAGGGGCGGAGAGCTTAGTGTCGCCACCCGTGACTGAAGAACAGCCCTCTGTCGCCCGTCCCGTGCGGAAATGCGGCCGTTTGTGGCCTAATCCCATTACAAGATAAAGCGGTGGGGAGGCAAGAAGCTGTGGGACTAAAGGGAGTGGGGGTGCCCGTCAGTGCCCCAGCGCTGGCCAGGAGAGGGGCAGACGTGACCCCCATTCAGGACATGTTCCCTGAGGGATACGGATCGGTCCGAACAAGCCAGCGAGCCCGTGTTTTCGTGACAGGGTGAAACACGGGCCCAGTGTGTGGGAACGGGGTCACTGAGGCTGGGCCAGGAGCCACCCTGGTGTCACCGACCTCTAGATGGCAGGGGCAATGTTAGGAGGGGGGCGCTGAGGTCGGAGAAAGTGGATGGCTGGTGGCAGGAGCTGCAGATGTGGAGAGCCCAGTGTGGCTTTAATGATGGTATGAAGATGCCCCAAGATGTCTAAAGCGTGGTCACCTGGACAAATCCAACCCCCCGACTCTGTACAAACACATCCCCCTCAGACACACTGGAAGCAGATTCCCAGTCATGTGACAGCCCACCACAAATGATAAATGGGGCAAGTTGTGACGCCACCTGACTCCTGGGTCCACCTGACGTCCACATGAAAATCGCCCCTCAACCTCAGGTGACATAAGCGTCAACATTTATGCTGGGAATTCTTTATATTCATTGGTCGTTCCTGTTTTAATTGAAGGATAGTCTCATGACGGTACTTGGCATTTTGGGAGACAGCAGATTCAGCCCTTGTGGGCTCCTGATTTGACCACATCCCCATTGCTTGCTGAGCGCCCGATTAGCTTTGCTCACGCGCTGCTGCCTCCTCGGGTGGCAGGTAACAGGTTAGTGACTATGGCTACGCCCCCGGTCCCCGCTGATCTGGCAGCTTGACCATCAGCGGAGCTGGTGGTGAGTTACCGGGACAGATAAACCGGTCCCCTGGGAAGCCAGCCCTGCCACTGACCGCTGAAATCATCTCCCTCCAGGAAAGGCCGATCTGTGGGCGGCTATGGAAGGGGAAGGAAAGAGCTCTTAGTGGAAGGAATGAGACGCAGGTACTTTAAAAAAAAAACAAAAAAAACGCAAAAACATGTCTGGAAACCAGCCCTGAAATCCACAAAAACAAAAAGTGTGAAAATGAGATGCCTGGTAGGGTGCATTTCAAAAGCGGATACATTTTAAGCTCCAACCTGACTGCATCCGGTAATAATGCAGATGCTTTGCCAAATCAAACTCCAACTGAGAAAGACACATCTATCCCTGAATCAACAGACAAATTACAGCAGAACAAATTTATTACACATATCATTTTACAGTAGACTACGTACATGTATACACATGCACAGCAACTTCTATTAATAATTACCATTCCCTTAGGTATGCCTGATAGTCAAATAAAATGATAATTTCCTTTAGATATTTAACCAAAACATTAAGTGCAGCAACGAACCAGTTAGCCCAACAAAGCAGTCCGACGAAAGCTAGCTTTACGATATGACCCATATGCATAACTAATCATTTATTATTCCCAGTGCCCTTCAGCAGACGTTTGAAAGCGGAACACAGCAACAACAGCATAACTTCTGCTGCAGAACCGGGTTTATTAAAAACCAAAGAGCTAAATTCCCACAATTCCACTGGCCATTAACATTGCCGGCAAGCAAAGCAGAACAAAGTATCAATTTTCCAGTGACAAAAAAAAACAGCTTGGCACACAAAAAAGCCATAAAAACGAGAGAGAAAAGAAACATCTGAAATCTCGTGTTACTAAAGACACAGGGCGATGCTGTGTGGACAGGGTGTCACCTGAGATGCAGAATGATTGCATCATACCAGGCCAGCAGGGACGGGGAAACCCATGTTGATGCAGAACCCAATACTTCCTCGCACAGGAGCCGGCCCTGGCCCAGACCTGCTGAAGTCACATGGTAACACGGTACTGGTCGCCACAGCGACCTCCACGCTCCCTCATTCCTGGCCGCCTCGTAAGATTTATCGTGCCTAACTGAGGGTGCTGCACGAGCTGGAGCGAAACGTGACATTTTGCAGCCACACAAACGGTGAGTTTTATGCCACTTTTTACAGGTTTGGATATTTACTGTAGGAATTCAAAATGTCTGTTTATGGGCCCAACAGCCGAAGCCTCTGAGGACTGGAAGCTGGGAAGGTTTGGCGACGCAACCATAACATTAACTGCTTCGCCACCTGCTGTTTGCCTTCTGTTCTTTTTCATCCTTTACATTAAAAAAGAAAACATCTCACAAAAGTCGCTGAAAAATGAGCAGCTACTGGTGGTTTAAAATCGCCTGCCTTGAGAATGGTGTTTAAAAACTGTTTAAACCCTTGCTCAGTCCAAAACTCCAAAGCCGCTCATACGAACTTATCAGTTTCCTGCCGGTATACAGGAAATGACGCATAACATACATATATGAAACAGTTAAAATATAGCCTAAAAATACTTAAAGGAAACAACCCTTAATCAACCCTGGCTTAATCAAATAAAATTCTTTTTGCATTCTCAAATGTAAACAATATTAAGTATAACTTAATGTTACAAAGGAAATTAATCAAAAACAGATCAATCTATTGAAATTGAAGCACTGTAATGCCAGCCAATGGGAATAAAAAATAGGACCAAATTACAATTAAAACAAGTTTTACAACTGTCAGCACACGTATCTTGGGGTCTTGTTCACAAGTGAGGGAAGAAGTGAGCGGGAGATCGACAGGCAGATCGGTGGAGTGTCGGCAGTAATGCGGACGCTGTACCGTTCTGTCTTGGCGAAGAGGGAGCTGAGCCGAAAGGGAAAACTTTCGATATACCAGTCGATCTACGTTCCTGCCCTCATCTATGGTCATGAGCTCTTTGTAGTGACAGAAAGAATGAGACTGCAGATACAAGTGGCAGAAATTAGTTTCCCGCGCAGGGTGTCTGCGCTCAGCCTTACAGACAGGGTGAGGAGCACTGAGTAGAGCCGCTGCTCCTCCGCATCGAAAGGAGGCAGCTGAGGGGGTTTGGGCATTCGCCTTCTGAATCCTCCCTGGGGAGGTATTTTGGGT